AGAGATACTGGGAAGCAAGAATACAGCTAATGAACTGCTACATATGTACCCCCCCCCACCCTTGGGAGAAGCTGAAGTGAATGTTTAAGGGCTAATGATAAATACCTTAAAGCCTGCCATTAGAAATAAATATTTCTAAATTTGCCTATGTTGGTCTTGAAGTACAAATATACTCTAGGATAATTCGAATAGGAGGGCATAGACACAATCGCCCCTTAAATGTCTAAAGCACCTGTTTTGAAGGAAAGAAGTCTGAAGCCCTGTCAAGTCTCATCTACCTACTTTGCCTATTATATAATGTGAACTAAAGTCGACGCCATTAGCTTCCTATGTAAAAACACGACAAATCAAGGAACAAATGATGCTGCAAATCAACTACAGAATTTTATAATAAGATGATCTTTCAACTGAATTAAGGGTTAAAAACTTTTTGAACACATACAGTTCGAGTCAGAGGAAACATTACCCAATCATACAAAGAACCAGATTTTCTCCTGGGTAAAATGATGCACAGTTGGTACATTTCTTCATGTATTAGTTCACAGCAAAATTTAATCGCATTAAAGTCTCATTAATAACAAATAGAATTATTGGGAAATTCACTTGTTCATTATTAATTCGTCAATATTGGTGCCAACAAATACTCTCGTGACAAATCGTCATTGAGCACAAATTACAACAGGCAGAGTGATATTTCATGCATTTATTTAACAAATGAATGGCATTCACAAGTATTAGACTTTGAATCGGTGCATCTAAATCAATCCCTTGCAATTGAATTTACTTGATAAAATAAATTAACGGTCGTCTCAACAATACATCAATACAGTTTAATGAACGATATCTCAATCGATGAGATGTCGTAAATCTAGTTGTGGGAGTAAATCTGGATCCACTTTCAAATATGGGTTCTGTTGAATGTATTCAGCACTGGGTCTATTTGCTGGATTGTAATTAACAATTGATAAAATTAAGAACCTTGCACCGAGTGGGACATGATTGACTTGACAAAACCCATCCAAAACGGGTAGATTAGGATTGTTTTGAACACCAAAAGTACTTGCGTAATCGGGTAGATCTTCAATTCCAGGAGCAATTTGGTTTGTAGGTTTTCCCATGTATAGCATGAATGCGAAAACAATGCTCTCGGCGTTTGTGCCCTACAAACAAATGAGATACAGTAAATGTTTGGCCATTTTGTGGGAATAATTGAAAAGTTCTTATTTGTCAGTACCATTGACGAAACTCATGTTTTACGCTGCATAGCTAAATATCTGTGGAATCGATGAAGCAAATAATGGATAAATCTGATTCCAATGAGATGTATATGCTAGAAGAGATCTGCAATGAAATTCTACTTTTTAGTTTGTATAAAGGCTTCGACAGCACTGACTACAGCCATAAGATGTGTCAGTCCTGCAGGAAACACCACCTAAGTGAAATAATTATAGAAGGAAAGTGAAACTAGGGGTTTATTTGCACTTCTCAAATGTACATGGACCAATCAGAATGGAGATTGCACACATATAAGAGCATATGCTTGGCAAAAGCAGTTGATTACATAATGAGTGGTTTAATGAGGGCCAGAATCAAAATCTTTCGGTACTGGCTCTTGTTGTTTCTACTTCTTCAAATTTTTAAAGTAAAGGTAACTTTCGCAAGGCCAGTTTATTGATAAATAGATAAAACTATATCCTAAATTCCTAGAAGTCAACATCGAATTCAAGGGTAAATAATGAGTGATAAATTTCAAGCATTTGCTAATTTCAAATAGTAAGCACAGTATGCCTTAGCAGAGATTTGATACTATGGAAGTAAAAATGAATTAGTTTACGATATAGACTAAATAAGAGTATGTCTGGATGGAAAGACACAGATAGAGTAAAAATGGAGCATAATAAATAACAAATGAAACCGGTAGTGCAGGATCTCCCTTAAGTATCTGAAAACATCCTTATTCAACATAATCGTAGTAAGATTTAACTAAATCGGATGCCAAATGCTGGGAAAATGTTTTAAAAGACGATATTTATGCTTGCCACGAATATTTCCATTTTGGTATACAAAGTTATGATGATGACACCCAATGAGAAAATGTCCACTGATTCGTCATATGTTACAGAACCCAAAAAAATTTCCGGAGCCTGGTATCCTCGTGTACCAATATGTGGCGTAAAAGGCAAATTTGCTCTCCTCCGTTTTAAACGAGATAATCCAAAATCGGCTATTTTAATATTTCCATCAGGGCCAATCAAAATATTTGACGGTTTCATGTCACGGTGAATGATGCCGCTTCTAAAATAGTAATGGTACTACCTCTTTATCAAATTGAGGAATGATTGAGAACGAAATGTTAGTCAAGTAGTTTAACGTTACGCTCACCTGTGAATGTATGAAAGACCTCTACAAATTTGTGTGATAATTACTTTAATATGATTTTCAGTATAATTCGCGTTGAAAATGAATTCTTTTAGGTTACATCGGCATTGCTCCAACACAAGTTTAATGTCCGGAAATGGGCCACCACCTAAATTGGTTAACTAAGAGTTAAAATGCTACCCATTTGAACACAGATATCCAAAGTTCTAACAATATTTTCGTGTTTTAATTGGTTTAGGAAACATATTTCACTAATGGTTGACAAGTTATTTCTATTTAATGATCGGGTAAATCTCTTTATGACAACAAATGAATCATCAAACGCATTTTGAGCCAATACTACACTTCCATATGACCCATGGCCTAGAACCTGAAGTGTTTCTGTATACAAACAGTTTGTTCTTAGGGGTAAATTTTTAATATATGTTGCAAGGTCTTCGAACCATGTTGATAGTGTATTTTTCAGAGCTTTTATTAACAGGTTTTCTTTCATCACTTAGTCAATACATAAATAGAGTAGCTTATAATTGTGCGCTAATTGGTACATTAGATTTGATTTAGTCTAACAAATTAAGGCTTATACATTGTTATATTCGAATAATCAAATATAATTATAGCGTTATGACAGTGCTTTAAGTAAAGTATAATAAATTTATATTCAATAACTTTAAAGTAGCTTTTATTTAGCGGAAAATATTTGTTTCACACATATATTAAACGTAATTTATGTGCTTATCTTTTGTGCATGATATTAGTAAATTAAAGAAAGTGAAAAACTGAAATAAAAGGTTTTTAGGAATATTATGTAATTGCAGAAAAGTAAGAGTTGAAATGTAGCACAAAGTGATCATCCACATGTTATGCTTGCTCTACTCTCTACTGAAACGATAAATAACTATCATGGTAACTAACACTAGTATAGAAACTTTGTTCAAATATCTTTGGTACATGTTAGTAAAGTAGTGAAAAATAAGTTAGAGTGACTCACTTTTGATAGTAGAATTTGATTTGTTTATGCATGGTACACTTTAAAGCTTAATATGTTGTTCGCCATATATTTATCGGTCAGCAAAAATCCTTAGACGAAACTGTTTAAACCTTCGACATGTATTTTTAATGTGTTTTAAACTTAAACTTTTAAAGTAATGTGGAAAAATCTCAAGTTTAAGTGTAACCTTCAGTGAGACAATCATTTTTTATTCTCAATAATTAATTTATCTAGCCATTCGTTTACGTACTTTTAAAGCATATTAAAGTTGAGTCGGACAACCCACAGCTGTTTGGATGAACTGGCTTACATCAACTAAGAAACTCCTAGCATTAAGAGATCCTATGTGAGTCAAAAACATAGCATTTTGGGGAGGATGGCAAATTCTGATGTAGTCTTCCAAGTCTGAAGTCACAGGCTGGTTGTTCACCGACCCAGCCCAACTGAGTAGAATGGGAGTCATAGTGGCTAAACGTGGTCGACAAAGAGAGTGATGGACTTCAAATTATCCACAAGTGAGTTTGCACGAACCTATCCATATGTTCGAATTGAGAGTTGGAAACACTTTGCTAAGAGTTTGGTGGTGGTGGTTGTGGNAACTAGATCAGCGTTCAGTGACACACAGAAATTATTTAAAGATTCATGTTTGTATTTGTGAGAGTAGGGAAGAAGAGGTATATCGTGTTTAGGACGTTTAAGTAGGGACTTATTTTAGATGAAGGTAGAATGAAAGAGTTAGAATCTCGTAAGGTAGAACAAGAGGCATTGAAGGTGTATCTGAGTGAGAGAAAGCAGGCATCTTGCCACAAAGGCCGCCAGGATTTCATGCAGGAAATCGGATCCTGTCCATAGACCCTTATTGGTTCTCTCTACAACCACGTTAGGACGCGTGGTGGTAAGCACTCCTTAATTGGCTAGGGAGATCGCTGGGTGTTTTACAGTGGACTTAGGAACGCGAGTAGAGATCACTAAGCATAACCTATGAGGCAGAAATTTTGGTGTTTGATTTCGGCTATGACAAAATACCATAGACAGCTCTTGGCGTGTAACAGTAATATATATTTCTAAAGTTGCCTATGCTGGTCTTGAAGTACAAATGTGCTCTAGGATAATTCGAATAGGAGGGCATAGACACAATCGTCCCTTAAATGTCTAAAGCACCTGTTTTGAAGAAAAGAAGTCTGAAGCCCTGTCAAGTCTCATCTACCTACTTTGCCTATTATATAATGTGAACTAAAGTCGACGCCATTAGCTTCCTATGTAAAAACACGACAAATCAAGGAACAAATGATGCTGCGGATCAACTACAGTATTTTATAATAAGATGATCTTCCAAATGAATTAAGGGTTAAAAAAGCTTTTTGAACACATACAGTTCGTGCAAGAGGAATCATTACCCAATCATACAAAGGACCAGATTGCATATTCATTCGGAACATAACAACAAAAATTCAGCATAACCAGAAAAGAACGTATCTCTGCAGATATTTAAATGGAAGGCGTCTTGTTCGTTGATGTACCAAACTCCTCTCTTTAACGGATTGAGTTTAGTGAAAGCTTAGTTGGTAAACAGAGCATTTTACCAAGTCAAGCACCAGTCTTTCATATCCCTTGCTTTCGACTTCCTCCATTTTCTCCTGGGTAAAATGGTACACAGTTGATACATTTCTTCATGTATTAGTTCACAACAAAATTAATCACATTAAAGTCTCATTATTAACAAATAGAATTATTGGGAAATTCACTTGTTCATTATTAATTCGTCGATATTGGTGCCAACAAATACTCTCGTGACAATTCGACATTGAGCACAAATTACAACAGGCAGAGTGATATTTCATGCATTTATTTCACAAATAAATGGCATTTACAAGTATTAGACTTTGAATCGGTGCATCTAATTCAATCCCTTGCAATTGAATTTGCTTATTACTATAAATTATTAAGGATCAGAAATACGGGATTGATGCCAACACTGGACGGGATGAGTGGTAGTAAATCTAGTTGTGGGAGTAAATCTGGATCCACTTGCAAGTATGGGCAGTTTAGAATATCTTCAGCACTGGGTCTCTCTGCTGGATTGTAATTAACACTTGATAAAATTATGAACCTTGCAATGAGAGGGACATGATTGAGCTGGCAAAACCCATCCAAAAATGGTGGAAGAATATGGATGCGAGGACCAAATGTATATGCATAACCGGGCAGATTTTCTATTCCAGGAACTATTTGGTTTGTAGGTTTTCCCATGTATAGCAAGAATGCAAAAACCAGGCTGTATATGCTCGGGGTCTAAAAACAAAGGAGATACAGTAAATGTTTGGCCTTTTGTGGGAATAATTGAAAAGTTCTTATTTGTCAGTACCATTGACGAAACTCATGTTTTACGCTGCATAGCTAAACATCTGTGGAATCGATGAAACAACTAATGGATAAATCTGATTCCAATGAGATGTATATGCTAGAAGAGATCTGCAATGAAATTCTACTTTCTAGTTTATATAAAGGCTTCGACAGCCCTGACTAAAGCCATAAGATGTGCCAGTCCTGATGGAAACACCACCTAAGTGAAATAATTATAGAAGGAAAGTGAGACTAGGGGTTTATTTGCACTTCTCAAATGTACATGGACCAATCAGAATGGAGATTGCACACATATAAGAGCATATGCTTGGCAAAAGCAGTTGATTACATAATGAGTGGTTTAATGAGGGCCAGAATCAAAATCTTTCGGTACTGGCTCTTGTTGTTTCTACTTCTTCAAATTTTTAAAGTAAAGGTAACTTTCGCAAGGCCAGTTTATTGATAAATAGATAAAACTATATCCTAAATTCCTAGAAGTCAACATCGAATTCAAGGGTAAATAATGAGTGATAAATTTCAAGCATTTGCTAATTTCAAATAGTAAGCACAGTATGCCTTAGCAGAGATTTGATACTATGGAAGTAAAAATGAATTAGTTTACGATATTGACTAAATAAGAGTATGTCTGGATGGAAAGACTCAGAAAGAGTAAAAATGGAGCATAATGAATAAGAAAAGAAACTGGTAGTACAGGATCTCTCTTAAGTATCTGAAAACACCCTTTTTCTACATAATCGTAGTAAGGTTATACTAAAACTGTTGCCACATGCTGAAAAATATGGTTTAAGAGAGGATATTTTTGCTTGCCACAAATATTTCCGTTTTGGTATATAAAGTTATGATGATGACACCCAATGAGAAAATGTCCACTTTTTCGTCATATGTTACAGAACCCAAAAAAATTTCCGGAGCCTGGTATCCATGTGTACCAACACTTGGCGTATAAGGCGAATTTGTGCTCCCTTGGTGTAATCGAGATAATCCAAAGTCAGCTATTTTAAGTTTTCCATCAGGGCCAATCAAAATATTTGCCGGTTTCAAGTCACGGTGAATGATGCCGCGACTAAAACAGTAATGGTACAACCTCTTTATCGAATTTAGGAATGATTGAGAACGAAAGGTTAGTTAAACTGTTTAACTTTACGCTCACCTGTGAATGTATGAAAGACCTCTACAAATTTGTTTGACGATTACTTTTCGATGATTTTCAGAGTAGAACGCCGAATAAATGAACTCATGTAGATCACACCGACATAGTTCCAACACAAGTTTAATCTCGGGATTTAGGTAGCCACCTAAACTGATAACACTAAGCTCCAAAATTATACCATTATGAACACAGATATCCAAAATTCTAACAATGTTTTCGTGTCTTAGTTCGTTTAAAAAACACATTTCTTTTATAGTTGTCCTGTAATTTAATGTCAAAGGTTGGTTATATCTCTTGATGACAACAAATTTATTATCTGTCGGTCTGGTGCCAATTACAACACTTCCATATGTTCCCTGTCCTATAACGAGTTGTGTTTCTGTATACGAACAGTTTGTTGTTAAGGGTAGATTTGTAATATACGATGCAAATTGTTCGAACAATATTTTTAACCCGTTTCTAAGCGCTTCTATTAATGGATCTTCGGTCATCGGTTAGTCAAAACATAAATAGAGTAGCTTATAATTGTGCCCTAGTTGATGCATTAGTTTTGATTTAGTCTAACAAAGTAAGGCTTATACATCATTATGTTGGAATAGTCTATTATAACTATTTCGTAGTTACAGCGCTTTAAGTAAAGTAAAATAGTATTTATATTCAATAACTTTAAAGTAGCTTTTATTTAGCGGAAAATATTTGTTTCACACATATATTAAACGTAATTTATGTGCTTATCTTTTGTGCATGATATTAGTAAATTAAAGAAAGTGAAAAACTGAAATAAAAGGTTTTTAGGAATATTATGTAATTGCAGAAAAGTAAGAGTTGAAATGTAGAACAAAGTGAATATCCATA